TCTATTATAGTGTGGGCCGAATCACCGATCACTCTCTATTATTGATTACGGTAAGAAGCTTGAAGAGTGTTTTGAATCTCCAAAGGCCACATTCCGCTTTGAAAATGAAGTCAAGTAAGCTAAAAACTCTTACACCATGCTAATCAAAGCTGCTGAATACAGATGCAAAGTTTGCACTTTACCACGACACTTCTTTTACAAGTTATGCCAGGTGTTAAGTTTTGTAGATCATGCTTGAAAACTCTACTGCACAACTTTTCCAAAAAGGCTTATCTCACAGTGGCGCTGTATGAAACTTCCGCCGTACCTAGATTAATGAAAAGCCATCAATCGTTCAATGCAAGTCTAATCTGAAGCCAGCTTTACGGAATGCTACCCTAAAAGCGGAGAAAGGTTTAGAGCAGGAAAATTATTGAGGACCAGATATAAGATACATTTTTGGACACCCTATATACAATCAAAGACTTTTGTTTTATTTCATACTAGCTGGGGGCCCCGGTCTTACCCGAGACTTCAAGTTAGTTAAGCCAACAGAAATTGTAAACTTACGCCTCCAGATTTCTTCTAACATGCGCATAAAGCGCTTTCAGACTAAGCCGCACCCTACCACTTTAAAACTGAAATGGACTTTACCGACCCTGCTTACATGCTTATATGTAGAAATGATCGGTTGCCATGATGGCCCTTCATTTTCTTAGGTTTGAGTAAACAAATCAATAAATCGATAGAATGGCCCGGCGAATCGCCGCGGAAAGTAGCTCTAAACCACCGCCGGGGTCGAAAATATACGTGTGCGAAGTTTCAACCGGATCGGTTCAGTGGCGCGCGTTTCTATAACGAACGAACAACTAAACGAACATCCTCACAGACATTGAGTTTTATATATATATAGATATGCATAACCTAGGGTGCGCCAAAAAAAGAAAGCTCTGTCACTCATAATTCTAGCTGTTTCGACTCAATGACGCACTTTTAAAGAGACCTACTTGGAGTGTGAATTGTACCAGCTTTTACAATGGTTGCGAAAAACTTTTAAAGTCATCTGACTTCGAAGTGTATACCTCCACATTTTTAAGTTGTATCGCGGCAACACAATAGAAAAAAATGTTGAAAGTAGTGGCTAGACCTGTTTGTGACGTTTGTATTCGCAGCATTGGTGGATCACCGTGCACTAAAGATTGTGCTACACAGTTTGAATGTTCGATATACCAGACAAATTCCAAGCAAGGAATGCTCTAAAAACGACTTTTCGTGGTTGGTTCTCTCACAAACTAGACGCTTTCTTGGAGGTCTCTGCTTCTTTCCTATTTCCTCTTCCAGTTCTTTCAGCCGCTCCCAAAGCGCAAAAAGGGACTTCCACAAAAGCTTGACAATGATTAAAAACATGAAGCTACACTCTTTAAATACTTTTGCTCTGTAGCCAAGAAAGTAAAAAGTAAAACACAGTAATATTTATGAAATCTTAGAGGTATTCACTGATAGACAAGTAGAGCTTGCACTTAGCAGAATTTGAAAAGCTTCAGTAAATTGTGATGTTCCTATTTTTTGATATTACTTGAAATAACGTAACTTGCAGAAGTATTTCGAGTTGTTTATAGTGCAAGATGAAGAAGATGGAAACGTTAGAGTGCGAATTTGATCGCATACCATCCGAAAAATGGGCTTTTGAGGAGAAGGTAAGAAGTAGCTGCGCTCGATTGACCTAAGCTGAAGCAACTAATCATCTTTTCAATTTAATTTGTGACCAAAAAAGTATCAACCTACATTTATCTCCTGAACTCATAGTAAACTTTGGTCGCTTATGTTTAACACGTTGACGGCAGCGTGCATTTTAAGTTGCCGCTTGTGGGACAATGCCTTCGACGAATAACTCGATATATAGCTAAAATCACGCAAATCGTCATCTAATTATGCCTACTTAAGTTCTTGAAAGCAGTTAAGAAACGTCATTGTATCCTCTAGGGTTAGAGCGTAAAAGACCTCATAAAACGGATGTACCCAGTAATTGTTATCATTTCAACAAAATTTATGCCGTGACCTACTATGTATGTCACATTGTCCCACGTGACACTCATTGCATGACCCACAATGTGGATCACGTTGTCGTCAATGTGTCCAGAAAAATCCCCATCTTATCGTGCAGAGTTTCTGGTTTGTCTCTGCTAGCATTAACTTGTGAACTATTACAGGTGAGAGTTTTGTGCATCTTATGGCTAAAGCGGTGAGGCAGGCTTGATAGTTAGAAAAAGGTTGATTAGAGTGCTTATCTACGACAGTTTTACAAATGCATTAATGAGGATATGATGCTAATAGCTTAAGTTACATATAGGGCACTTGAAAAATCGTGACGATGGCGCGACCGCGCGCGACACGCATGCCGCTTCCCGAAGTCGCATTTTCTTGGCTTTCGTCTTTAGTCGAACGGTTTTTTGCTTACGTATGATAATATTTAGACACTGGAAGTGACCGAGCTGAACGCTGAAGTGATGTTTTCTTGTATGCGCATTTTATGCTCCTATGGGCGCAAAGTCCGCAGTAAAAGCCGTCGTCACAATTTTACAAATGAACCATACAAATGTCATTTCTCATATTTCTAGAACAATGGGAGTCGAAAACGAGTTGCTGCTCCGACAAATCTGAGCATGTAGATTTTCATCTCATTGTGATGGTTCATCGTGGATAATTATAGCGTCAGAAATACTTTTATTTTTCATCTTTTTGTACTGCACATGCTCTCATCTTTTCATCTCTGGTATCATTAAGGAGACGCAATTTAGGTCACACTAAAAATTTTTGCACTCTTTTGATTTATCGTGTGTTTCACGTTAGCCTTTTTATAATATCTGATTGGACAAGATTTTATGGGGTTTGCAGAGATTGGACTTTGCCTGGTAAATCATTAGCAAAAAGTGCCTCTTTCGATTTTTTCCTCGCTATGATTGATGTTTTTGTAGAGTGTTCATACATATAGGAACACGGACAACGTCATATAATTTTAGCTATGTAGAGTACGATATTATTGAATATAAGATTGCTCCTGGCCGCAAGAATCACAAAAAATGTTAAATTCTCCTCTCAAAGTTCTGGCAAAATAAGTGAAAAGGATTTGTCATACATCTTTCAAAAGCGCTTTATATGATCTTTTTGTAAGCGCACATTTTTTTGTGCTGGAGTATCAAACATGAAAGCATTGCATAACACTATAACTGACTCTTGAAACAAAAATAAATTGTATGAATCGATTTTTCAAAACTTAAGACAGAGAATTTAGTGAAAAAAAAGAGCAGCAGCATTAATGGCACGTATTACCATGAATTTGAACCACTCCAGCGTTTCTATTCGCATTGTTTTAAGACGCTTCAGCGCTAAACTTGCGCGCGAAGAGGGCGTTTTGAGAAGTTACAGCCAGAGCCGGGCATCAAGCGGTCTAGGTTTATGAAACGATGTTTCCCTGAATTTCGAAAATTTTACAAAATCCTTGGATTCTTATCGGAAACCTATCGACATAGGGAACTTCACAAGTGGGATTATGCCTGAGTCATGGTTTCGCATTGATGCTTGCTAGTACCCGCGTGCGTTAGTTCAGTGTATAACGACGAAAACTGCCTCTCTAACGATCCAAACGCTTTCCTATGATAACCCTGCCTCTACAAAGTGCTTCCGTAAATTGTGCTTTTAAAATTATTCCTTTTCATAGAGATCGAATGCTAGTCGGTTATGAACCTGCCGGCGTTCTGTCATTTCTTAATACGAGTTTCAAAAGAAATCTTTATGAACTGTGTGCGCTATCTGCAAGGAGAATGCCGATTTTTCTTCCTGTCACAAAACCCCTGTAAAGTGCACTGCTACGAAATACCTAAAAAAGTTGATTGTGAAGTGCCAAAAAGCGGTAAGTTCTGTCACCGCGAGAATCGCGTGCTCGCCCTGGGATGAACTAAACCCAAATAAAATGCTGTTCAGTATCACATATTGTTTCCATATTATAGAATGGAAGATTTTCTGAATGTGTGGAGCTAATTGCATGTTTCCATCGTCAGTTGAATCTTTTCTGTTGACGTAGCTGTTTTCGCATACAGGGCCCGGCGGGGGTGGCGCTTTCACAAGCTGGATATCGTTTTTGGCCCGAAAAAGCAAAGGGGAAGTAGTATTTTGGGGTCCGGGGCGGAGCCCCGAACCCCAAAATACTACTTCCCTTTTGTTTACCGATAAACAATGCACATGTCATTCTTTATTCATCATTCCTTGTTGATGCTAACTGTCCTATGAACTTAGATTCCAGCAATGTGAAGATTCTGTGCTCCGATCGCTAGCCTGCCCGCAGGCGGGAATTCAAATCGCAATTCTTGTAAGAGGGAAATAACAAAATAGGCTCGTTTTCAATGCACAAGTAACGATATGGCACCAAATTCGCTGTATAGTTGGAGGACCATAAGCACAAAAAAAGTATGAAGATTTATGAGAAACTTATGTGAATTTAAAAAATGGTAAGTGTTTTTCGAAATTAGGTGGCTCCCGCGCCACCTGGGAGCCACCTGGGGTGGCTCCCTGCTTCCCTTCACATAATTTCCCAGAATTCTTTACATAAGTGTGGACTAGGTCGAGAGTATTACTATGTGTTCAAATCCGTTTCCAAAACCACCAAGGTACCGCTTCGATACAGCCCCAAATGGGGTTCACAGCGTTATGATCGGCCTCAGAAAGCGCGCTTTAATCGCAATCGGTGCACCTTGCACGGACGACGCGGAAACATCGAGAATTTGACTTTCTGCTAAATCAGTGATCGCTGATTGGAGCAATCTTCGCAATTTTCGAATAGATTGCTTCTTCGACGAGCCCTACAAGGGCTCAGAAGGGCCAGAGGTCATATTTGGTCGTGATGTTCTATACAAAAAATTGTTTTTGTGATTGTGTTTCTTCAGTTTTCGCATTGTGGTCGTTCTCCGCACTTTCGCTCTTTTGGGTCGTTTGTTTTCGTCGTTTTCCTTTATTCTGGTTGTTGCAGGCATGCTGTCATCAAAAGTTGAGGAAATGTTTTTGACAAGATCGAGTCGAGTAAAGTCGGTGGACCTTCATCCCACGGAAACGTGGCTATTGGCAGCTCTTTGCAGTGGAAGCGTTCAGATATGGAATTACGAGAGTCAGCTGCTTCTGAAATCTTTCAAAGTAGGTTTATTTTTTTGAATTTTCATGTATTTTTGTATGTTAAGCCCCGGCCAGACTTCGCTCAAGATAGCTCATCTAAAAATGAGTTCCTATCCCGCAAATAGTTAAGCGTTGTCAGGCGTTCTTGTACATATGCGTCGTGAAAAGGGGCCTTTGGTGTTTTTGAGCGGTTCTGGGCTGTTCAGTTGAAGTCTGGCTGGGGCCTTATGTTGCTTACTATGTTTCAATCCAGTATCTTGCGCATTCTTCAGATATGTGATTTGCCAGTGCGCGCTGCCAAGTTTATTTCACGCAGAAATTGGATTGTTCGGCTCAGATGACATGCATGTCAGAATTTTCGACTACAGCACGTCGCACTTAGTTCACCAATTTGCGGCTCATTCGGACTATCTCAGGTAGGTGGAATGGTGCATTTATGCAAATATGTTACATGACTTCGAATTTTTGCATTCGTTTTTGTACATTTGTAATTTCTTGCTTTTTCTTTGTGTGTTTTCCTTCATTGCCTCCAATATTTTTGTGGATCAGCGAGACCCATACAATGTGTTTCTGGTCTGAACGATCCCTTACTCGACAGAGTTTACGCGATTTGATCGTCGCGATTGAATTGCGACAAGACAACTGTTACGAGTTCATTGCATGCCGACCAGCTTGCACTTCGGGACTGTCAGGAACTTACGGGGGCCAAAAATAGGGTCAAAAGGGAAGTCGTAAGAAATTTTGACTTCAAAGGGGATATCGTTTTCAAAATCCTGAAATGCCACCTCCTGCCGGGCCCTGTTCGCATACGCTTTGCGCCAGAATTTTTACGTGGGAGCCGTCCAAAGCCAGATGACTAGGGAATCCCACATAATTTATGAAATTTAAAACATCGCCTACAATGCAAAAAGCGCATAATACAATTGACCTTCTTTAGATGTTGCGTTGTTCTTCTCCATTTGGCCATCTAATAAACTTGTTTTTTCCATATAACACATCCGACACCTTCGCGATCATGCGGGAAACTGTCGCCTGTGAACAGCCTAAGGCAATGGCTGTTGTCCGCTGAACTTACAATGTGATGGAGCCACATTCTGTAAGTAAATATGTGTACCTGCAGCAGTGTGTACCTATTAGCACTTCCCACATGTTCTAGGAAAACGGAGAGCTTATGACAACTCGAGATCGGAGCAATCCTTGTTGTCGAAGTTGGTAAATCTTCGTGCAACAACGCTAGTAAACTATAAAATCTACGTCGACTTAGACGAAAACATCCTCTGAATTTCCTGTCGTCGAGCACGTTTAGGGGATCAGCTCTATCGCGAAATACACGAGGAAACGCCGTATTGATTAAGAATTCAAAGATTTCTCCTTATTATCTTCCATAATCCAAATGAGTCTGAAATAGTTATAATGGTAACTGAAGTACATATAAATATAATAAGGGCCAAACTCCTACTCATAGTAAATAATAATGTTCTCGAATAAAACATCACTTAAGCAATACACAATTACAATAAAATAATATTATAGTAAACACTTCGACTCAAAATTTTGCAGCTTTTGAAAACACAACGACATGGGATTCCGATTGAAATCTGTGTTACATATTATGAAATTGTGGGTAAGGAAGATTACTGGTGGTGCTACAAGGAAGATTCGCCTTTGCAGCTTCTACTAGAAGTCTAGCTTCCTCCATTTTTAGCTCAGCCACACAAACCTCAGTTCGTGCTTTCCGCTATGATCGAGCTCGCCATTGGAGTCTTCATCCAAAAAATTCTCAAGCTAAATAAGAACAACCAGTTTTATGGGACTCACCACCCAAACCGGGTAACCACGGCATTGTGATGTTTTTCGGCAAAAGCTTCGATGAGGGGTTGAAAATATTATGGTTGTTTTCGGTAAGTTATACGCGCCTCCGTTTGTTTCCTTGTTTTTTTCTTCTATATATGCCCCGATGAAAAATGAAAATCCAACAAGAGCAAAGGCCATATACTTGCTCTCGGACGAACCGTTAGCCCTTTTAAATTTCATTCTTATTTTACTCTATGCTTTCTCTCGAGCGTAATGAAGACCCAAGATTTGTGATCGCTCTAATCCAATCATTTATTAGGTACTGGAGGACATTTTTGCTTAATTTAATAAGTAATAATATCTATTAACAATAGTTCGAAAAGAAAAGTCATACTTTTACTGGACTTCAACTTTTTTGAAATTGCGCTCCATAGAGCAGTTGCGTTAGTAAGTAAATATGCAAAATATCTTACCGACACGATGATACGTACCCAATTCAAGTTAAGGTGAGAGATCTATGAATCTACTTAGGAGGCTAACTTGATGTAGGTTGCGACATAACATTCACTTAGGCGTGCTACGTGTATATGGTCTAATAAAACAACTTCTGCTTCACTAAAGCGTTTTACAAGTTTGAATAATTAAACCATAGTAAGAGTTGATCTATCTATTAGATGTGTGTATTGCTGCGTGCAATTGACTTTTACTAAATCATATCTCTTAAGGTGCTCTTCACTCAAGACCACGTTGACCAAGCTGGAAGCCAACTTGGCTTGAAGAAAACTTATGAAGGCTTAGCTTAACAAACCTCATCAATCGTGCACTCTTCTTAGCAAGTTTCAGCTGGGCTCTTTTTCGTTGATGGGGTTTTTTTGACTTTTTAAAAGTTAGAAAAGCTTGAAATCAATCAGATTAATGCAACAATATAAGTTCAATTCAACACCACACACTAGTTTTTCCCGATGTTCTGTCTGATTTGCGTATTTTCTAATTCAGAAACGTTAAAACATTTCTCACAACGACTTTCTAGACTTTCTGAATTTTGCAATGAGCAGCTTTTTTTCTGCTTGAATGAGTACGACATGTAAGAAAGGCAAGCGAGAGGGAAGCGATTTGAGAGAAACAAAAGTCTTAAAGGGCGTATAATTTTGACAAAGCAGTGCTACAATAAAATAAAATAAAATAACTAAATAGACACAATGGTGACCATCATCGAGTAGCCTATATTCCAGAGATTATTACAGCTAGAAAGTTTCCGTACAATTTTGGCTTCGTAGAAATTTCTGTGAGCAAATAAGAGACGCTGGCATTTGAACCCTACCCGAGGCAATTGAGTTGACTTTCTGATATTTAATTTTTTCAAAGCCAATCAATTTTTGGTCTTTGTGTATGCATGTCGGACCATAACACAAATATCATATACAAGGTTTCCCAAATCTTTACTACGTAGTCTTTTGCTTAGGTTTAATACTATTCAGTAGATACTTGAATTTACAGTATAGCGTGGGTCACCCAGTTCTCTTGATTGAGTGTAAGATTACCACAAGAACTTTGAAAAGGGTTTCAAGCCATTGATAGATACATTTTGCCGCTGAATGAATACCAATAAGCTAGAAATGCTGTTAGATTAAATTGAATCGCTGACTTCGAACATGAAATCGCAGTTTATTGTAAAGTTTTTCCATGAATTCAATTAAATACGTTAATTATAAAACTACGTAAACAACAATGTTTTTCTCTGAAATCTGATAAAAACTAATCGAATTAAAAATCTTGTAAAAAGTTGTTTAGTGAAATTTGCATGTATGAAAACAATTTTACTACTTCCCACAATTTCTTAGAGTTTTTTTGACGAAATATTTCATAATGGCGCTTTATGCTGGAAGTTTCTACTGTAATCCCAGCAATGAAGAGAGTTAAATGACTTACTCTATACTGCCTATTTAAGCTGAAGCCTGCACTACCAAATGTTACTCGAAGCTGAGCAAAAGACTCTGTGGGAAGTGAGTTACTGATAATTGAAAAGTGTGTACTTACATTTGGGAACCTGTATATTAGGTCGTTCCAAAATTTCGCTTTTTGACCGAGCGCCACATTCCGAGGTACAGAATTATAAAGGATATTGGTAGCATATGATGGATTATTTTATCCTGTTTTAAATAGTCATAATCTTATTGTGGCATAAGCAACGAGCCTAAAAAATCAAAATCTGCGACCCATGTTATTTGAGGAAGACAAGTGCTAACTTTCCGGATTTTTACTTTGTTTTTACTTTTTAACTCTCCGAAAAAGTCCAAGTAAACTGCGGATACAGTAAACCCTATGAAGAAAAAACAATTTTCCTTCCCATTTGAAAATTTCTTGAGATTTGAAACAGAAAGTAAATTGTGATTCGATACTAATTTTAGGAAGGAATTGAGCATTGGAGTTGCGAAAGATCAAATCTTGAATTTTCGGGGCAAAGCTCTGAAATTGCTCGAAAAGTTAGAATAAGTCAAAAAATAAGATGGATCTCAGGTTTGGCAATTTTCTGAGAGCTCGTTTTATATCGCTGTAATGATGACCTGACCACTGAGCATGAAAACTCCTAAGTTGATAGTGAATCTCGGTCGCTTTTGCAAAGAAACTGTTCAACCGAAAAGGTATGGCTTGTAATGAGCATTTTGGAAAGAAAAAAAAAACGGGTTTGCGGTAATTTTTACTATAATTCAAATGGGTTGCAGCAACTCGCTAGATATGCTCGACGACAGCAAGTTCAGAGGACGTTTTCGACTAAGGGCCGCATGCACTAACATCCCTGCGGCGAGGGGAGCGGCGTCCCCAATGATGAAAAAGCCGCAGCGGCGTCCGCACGCGGTCCCTTCATAACGGGGGACGCCGCTCCCCTCGCCGCAAAAATGTTAGTGCATACGGGCCTAAGTCGACGTGGCTTTTATAGTTTACTAGCTTTGCTACATGAAGATTTATCACATTCGACCACAAGGACTGCGTCGATTTCAAACTGTCATAAGCTCGCCATCTTTCTAGAACATGTGGGGAGTGCTAATATGCAGGTACACATATTTACTTATAGAATGTGGCTCCATCACATCGTAACTTCAGCAGACAACAGCCATTACCTTAGGCTGTTCACAGCCGACAGTCTCCCGCATTATCTTGCAGGTGTCGGATGTGTTATGTGAAAAAAAAACGAGTTTATTAGATGGCCAAATGAAGAAGAACAGTTAGTCTATCAAAAAGTGGACCCAGCTTACGTGAGGAAACCCGATAGCTACAAGACTGTACAGCAACGATCCAGCTATTCCATCGCCCCCTGACTATTCCAATTTATAAGGGAGTTTGACAAAGCGACAATATCTCGCCAAAGCTGTTCACCGCGGCCTTGCAGCGGGTGATGAAATCACTAAATTGGGACGAGAGAGGCATACGAGTTGATGGAAGATTCCTGTCCAGTTTTCGTTTTGCGAATGACATCGTTCTCTTCTCGAGCAGTATTACTGAAGCAAAGACGACGCTGAAGGAACTAAACAAAGTAGAGAAGAGATCGAATTGCCAATAAATCGGGAGAAGACTCAGTTCATGAGGAATGTCCTTTGCGAAGATGCAGAATGGAATT